CAAATCATCAAAGCTTCAATAGTGAATGGAGGATATTTATTTTTCCTAAGCACAGTAAATTCTGTGCAGCTCTGCATTTGATTCTAAAGAGGAAAAAAAATCCCCCCTCTCAGAACTTTGAAATTCTCTGCCTAAATGGACTCCCTCACACAGCCTATGAGAAAGGATGTATTTTTATTTTTATGTATAAAGAGACACGACCAAGAGAACTCACATATTTTGTTTGGCTCACTATTATTGTTTCATTCCTTTCATGAAAGCACCAAACTTTTGACTTTTAAAAAAGAAAAAGTTACTTACTTGGACATTACCACAGGATCCTCAAGGGATGCCACTGAAAGGCTGCAATCTGGCAAACTGCTGTCAGCACACTGAGTAAGAGAAGATGGAGTCAGAGTCAGGGCTTCCTCCTCCTCAGTGTTGACAGAATGATCATTGTCAGCATTCCTGGGAGCCCCTGGGAAGGGAGAGCTGGCCCTGTGTTCACTCTGGAATGGGTGAGTTCTCCACAGCTCCAAGTGCACAGCTCTGCTGCTGGCAGGGGGTGTTGGAGAATCATCCAGCTGAGGTGAGTGACTTGTCTGTGAAAAAGAGTCTGTGTCACAATGACTTGGAAATCCGGGCTCTGCCATGGAGTCTGGAGAAAAGGGAGCAGAGTCTGGAGGAGTCCTGAGTCCCTGGTTCTGCTGGCCTGGCTTCATGTGCAGGGTTGGGTCCAACGTCAAGATCTAGGAAATAAGTTACAATGCTAAAAAATTGTGATTTAACTCCATTTACAAGAACAAGATTTATCTCAAGGCATCAATAAAACATACAACATACTGTAAGTATTATATTGAATATTATTACAATCATTTGGAAGTGACAAATAAAATGTCAGTTCTACAACACTGAAATGACAATACACATTCCCAATAATTGCAAACGGAGCTTCTAAGTTTCCATTAATAAAGGACATATCCAAGATCTGTAGCTTTCTAGAAAACCTCTGAAATTTCAGTTATGCAACTTGAAAGATTTTTGTCTGTGTGTTGAAACAATAACCTTGCAGGGTTACAAAAGCATTTCATTAATTACCTAAAGAGTACAGTCACACAGCAGCCACCATCCCCGGGTTATGTACAGGACTGAGAGCTATATAAAAAGCACATATGAGCTATATAAAAAGCACAAGCTGTGCCTGTTCTGTTCCGTGGGTGGAACAGACCCTGGCCCTGCAGCTCCAGGTGCAGCTCAGCAGCAGCAGCGGCTCCGTCCCTGCCGCATCCTCAAGGTTGTGCAGCAAAGGTTCTTCCCTGCTCAGGCTGTTCCTGGAGGTTCCTCCAAGCTGGATCCTTTCCCAGGCTGCTCAAATTGCTGTTCCAGCACAACACTGGGGGTGGCAGCAGGGGCCAAGCCGTGTAAAACCAGCCCAACACATCCTCAACTGATCCGTGAATAAAGAAATTGATGTTACCTCTGGTGGGTGACTTGGCTGGGAAGAAGGCATAAAACTCTGGTCTGGCAGCTGCTGCTTTTCCCTTTGTCTTTTATGATAAATGTCCTTCAGTGATGACAACTTCCTTTCATCAGCAGAAGACAACTTCAACAGGCAAAATTGCTACATTACTTTTTCTGAACACAACACTCCACCCCCAACAAAGATAAGCCAGTTTTGGGGTGGGTTTAGCTAATAAAGCAGCTCAGAACACACGGCTTCATTCAAGCTAAAAACGGGTTTTCAACAAGACACATACAACTTTAACACACTAATTAGACACCTCTCATCTCCTACACACAGCTCCTTTTGAAGGACAAAAGGTCAGTAAATTTCAAGGGAGGTTAGTGGGGTGCAGGGATAATGAAGAGCCAGGATATGAAAGACTGAGATAACAAAAGGGTTCTTTCCATCACAGGCAAACAGCAAAGACAAAAAGCAACTACATAATAACTTTGAAATGTGTACAAAGTTTACCTGAACTGGTGATGTTTTCTCCACAAAAGTATCAGGCAACTCACTTCTGAAATTCTCTGGTAAAGTGTGATACATCTCCTTTTCATCTAACTTCCAGTATGAAAGTCCTGATGAAAAAAAATACCAGATGAAAATTAATTCTACAGATTTCAAGCTGGCAGCTATAGAACAAGGAATCCAAAACCCATTAGTAAAATGTTATTTGGTCAGTAACAAGAATGGTACAGTAGTTACTTGCATTTACTGCTCAAGGATGTCATTAGAGCATTTGAGTTAGAAAAATCTCAATGCAAAGCACAGGCAACATAATCAGTCTCACATCATTCAGCACCAGGGACAAAAGCTATAAATCAGTAAAAACACATAGATCTGGTGTTCAAGGGGCAAATCCTCATTTACCATGAACTTACATTTCTAATGATTCCAGTATAGCACTTAAAACTGGCACCACCCAAGGAACAATCCCACCTGACATTACAAACTCTTCACTCTGTGCAGCATGCAAAGACAAACTACCAGGACTAAGAGGGATGGACAAGAGGAACAGACACAGCCTCAATCCCACTCCAATCTCCTAAATGTGTCCCTCTCTCAGTGGCTTGTGAAGAAGCAACAATTATACACAGTTTGCAGGGCTGCATCTCTGTGCCCCTGTTTGTTACTGAAATGAATCCACCCTGTTATAATCAAAATATGTGAATTAGTTGTCTGGCTTTGATAAAAAACCCCAATAACCACAACCCCCAAACCCATGTAAATCCGCCACCAACCATCCCTCACATACACCCCAAAACAGCAAGGCCAAGCCTTACCAAAACACACAAAAGCAACCCTCCCCCAAATTAAAGAATCACCAGGTTACACACTGCATTATTGTGTCTTTGTCTATTCACACAGCAATAAAATCATGCCCTTGGTTTAAAGGAATTCTGCCTCTGTTACCATGAACTCCTGTAATTACCACACCATTGGTGCTAATGTTTCATATCCTACCATGACATTAACAGTAATTCCATTATGAAACAGCTTTAAACACAACGTTCAGCTTTGAAATGCTGAGAAATTTGGAAAAACATCCCAACTGCTGCATGTCCTACATCTGCCAGCAGCAAGACACAGGAGCTGCCATCAGTTTGAAAACAGGAGCAAGAAGCAGAGTTAATGCTATATATTAATGCTATATATATGTCTGTCAGTGCTTAAATCCTCCTCACCTCCCTGAAGTTATTGGGGATGCATTCCAGTAAGAGTTTTAAAAATGAGAATTAAAAAGAAATGGAATTTAAATACAAGAAATTAACTATACCTGAAGCTTCTGACACTATGGAACTAGGACTTTCCTTGGGTTGATTGAGGTAAAAAGTGTATGGTGGCAAAGCAGCATCAGTAAGGTTTGTCTAAAATTACAATGGAAAAACAAATTCAGAAGGAAAATCACCAGGCAAGGAAAAAAAAAGCAAAGGTATAATGTTTAAAATTGCATACAAATGTTATTAGTCTTTTAAAGCAAAGACATTAAATACAATTATACAGCATGATCCAAACCTACAGAATTTATATGGAGGGTAATCACAGCCAAAATTGGAACTAAGCTAAGCCACATAATTAAACTGCTATTTCCTAAGACATGCCTGTGTTTTTGTCCTGAGCAAAGTGGTTAATGCCTTAACACACAAAGAACCCTGTGTGCCAGAAGAGCCATCACCAGCTGAAATCAAAGATCCTTCAAAAATTACAGGGCACAATAAATTACCATGACCTGAAGCCTCAGCTGAGAGTGTGGCCATTGTCTCTACAAGGAGAGAACATGTGCCACTCAGGGAGGTGTTAAAACAAAAATTAGGTAATGAATAAAATAAACCAAAATAGCTCTGTGCCTAAGTATGGAATAATCCAAAAAGTAAACTTTGCCCACATGAACTTTAAATATGAATGGGAACTCAAATGCTTAAAATATGAAAGTATATGCTGAATGAGAACATGCTGTAACTCTGAAAAAATACCAGTTCCAAGAATAGCATTAGAAAAACATAATGAATTAAAAAGAGACTTACATTGTCAAGTGGTAATCTCTTCACTCTCTCATTTTCTTGCATAGAGTTCACACATCCTTCATCTGCAGTTACTCTTTTTGGTTGAGTTTGTTTCAACTTTTGTGCCCATGATGTTAAAGATTTACTGGATGGTAAGAAACACACACATATATTTAGGGGAAATACATGAAAGTGTATCTAAACTAGAGTGTAGAAAGTGTATCTAAACTAAACAAACATCAGGCTAAATAAATATCTTTATCTGTCAAGCAGTAGAACATCCAGAGTTTCCATTCAACTCAGACATGCCCCCAGTCTGAGTTTCCATTCAACTCAGACATGCCCCCAGTCTGACCAGCAGCTTTTACTGAATGGGGATTGTCTAGAATAAATTACCATAACTAGAAAGTTTAT